TAGTTCCACTTCAAAGTCTAATGGGAGCTTTCGACCCAAACTCAATAGGTAGCCTTTTCCTTAACAAAGAATTTAGCAAATTTTTCATTTTTTTTTTTTTTTTTTTGTGCCGAATATTGTTTTATTTCATTATTTTTTTCATGCTCCTATTTTTTTCAGACAATAACCTTTATAGTTTTTGTGATCAATATACCCTAGTCAACAATTGAATAATTTTCAATCAAATTTCTCAATTAGAGACTAGTGCATAAAAAACTATGAATTCAAGAGATTTAAATCTAAAAATCTCCTAATCAATGCAAATTTTCATTGTATAGATTACAATCCAAGAATCTATTTTTATCAAATCATCATGTGTCTCAATTTGCAGTTCAAAGATAGATCATGATTCAATCTGAAAGAATTTTTACATATATTATCATGAAGAATATGATCAATGACTCAAAACCTGAATGAAACCCTAATCCTAACAAGTCATCCAATGGCAACAAAATTTTTCATTTAAACACAATCCATGATCACTAATCATCCTAGGACTTAGTTTGAAGTTAAAGTCCTTTTGGAAACTAGTTCCAAGGGCTCAATTGGCACATAATTGATCAAATCATCCTTTTTGATCCACACAGTTTTCAATCTCACTTCCTGAAAAGATTTTTCAGATTTTACCTCTTTCTTAGGCAAATTTCTAGCTTTAGAATTCTTAGGTGACACAAATTTTTTTTTTCTTCTTAGAATGCACCTTTTTCCTTAACATGAACCTCATGAGAATGAATTTTAGAAAAATCTTTCTTTTTCCTATGAAAACATGAATGATGGTTATGTCCATTCTTACCACAAAAAGTGCAATGCAACAATTTAAGCATATATGACATATCATAATGCAATTCATCAATCAAACTCGGATTAGGCATAGTATGATCAACAAGTTTCACAAAAACTGTTTTAACTTAACTACTAGATGAGCCTTTAACAAAACCTAACCCTTATAATTCACATTCTTACCAATGTTAATTATCTTATTCAATTTGACTTGACCAGCAGTGAACCCTATTAGTCTATCTTGTGCCTTTTTCAATTCAAGTTCACTATATTTAATTCTCAGAGCAAAATATTCTTTCAAGGAGTTAGCACTACTTACCTTATTTTCAAGAGTGATGATTTTACAGTTGAGATCAGAGATGATTGAATCACTTTTAAAACCTTTTCTTTTTCCTTCATCAATCTGTTTTCTTAGATATTCATTCTCTTCTTTTGCTTGAATAAGCTCCTTTGCTAACTTGTTGACAGTCAATTTGACTTCAGTAGTTTCTTCGAACATCTTCTTCAATTTTTCTTCATCCTCTTGAACATGTTCATCAAGAACTTCATTGGCTTCATCATCTAAAATGTCAGAGTCAGACAAAGAAACAACATGAGGACCTTTATCAAGAAAAACAACATAAGAAAAATCATTGCAATCATCATGAGGAGAATCATTATCACTAGAAGCAGAATTTTCAAAAATAAAAACTTTCATTGCTTTTCCTCTATTCCTATCATTTTGATCTTTCTTATGACTAGGACAAATATTGGTTGCGTGACCTTTGCCACTACAATTCCAGCAAGTGAATTCAACTTTTTTTGGCTCTTCTACTTTCTTTTCATTAAATCTCAATTTTGACCCCTTATCAAAAAAATTAGGATTGGCCCCATTGCCATTCCTTCTCCTCTGTTGTCTTGGCAAAATCTGATTGAATTGCCTTATCATAAAAGCAACTTCAACATCACAATTGTCATCGACAGAATTATCAAACTGTGTTGATTTTAAAGCAAGATTCTTCTCCTTTTGATTTAAATCAAAATTCTGCATCTCAAAATTTTTTAATGAACCTACAACTTCATCTACTTTAGAAATAGACAAATCCCAATGTTCAGTGATAGTTTTTACCCTTATTTGAAATCTTTTAGGTAAAGACCTTAAGATTTTCTCACAGATTTTCTTATCACTAATTGTTGGATCTTTATGTTTCACACACTTCCGTTGTCCAACAAATTGGTATCAGAGCCAAAGGTAAAGGAGATCTAGAAAACACAAGAAGTCTTAACATGTGCTGCAACGGGCTTCAGTTGTAGGTGGAGTCAATCGGCTTGGTTACATGGCATGGAGCTCAAGTTGTCAAGGTGGAGCCTTAGAGGTTTGACTGATCGAGCGTATAGTGTGGACAATCGAAGTTTTGCAATCGTCAAGATTGAAGCTGCAACAGAATTGTCTTCATCAATGTCGTGGAAGCGATGATTGGCTGGATGGAATTTGATTTAAGGTGGAGATTGTTGGAATTTGTGACACAAATTCCTATTCTACTTATGTTTCTATTTTAGATTTGTATTATGTTTGGTAATTTCTTATTTGGCAAGTCTTGGCCTCTAAGAAATTGTAATCCTTGTCCAACCAGGAATTGGGTTTGGAACTATATAAATAGATACGTAGGCTTTGGGTTGAGACTTATGAGAATGAGAGAGATGTAATCTCATGAGAGAGTTGATGGGTAGAGGTAATTTATGGTTTAATAAAGTGAGAAAAATACCGGTAACACTGTTAGCGAGGAGATAGGCTCGTGGAGTGGTACATGATAAAATGACATGTACGTGGTACTGGTACTCTATTGTTGTGATTTCTCTACGAATCATAGCGGAATCTCTTCTCATTCATGGACGTAGGCAGATTTTGGCTGAACCATGTATATCTTGTGTTTATGTGTGATTGCTTTGTTGGCTTTTATTGGATCCTCATTGTTCGCGTGCTTCCGTTGCCCCAACACTAACTTTTTTGCCTAAGTGACGCAGTTCAGAAATAATTTCAAGAAGACTAGAATAAAAATCAGAAAATGATTCATCTTCTCTCATCACAATGTTTCCAAAGTTATGAGAAATCATTTGAATTTTGGACAGCTTCACTTTTGAAGTCCCTTCCTGAGTAACCTGCAAAATATCTCAAACGTCTTTAGCAGTTTTACAATCAGAAATTATAGTATATTCAGATGGAACAACAGAATTTATAATTGCATATAAACTTTTCCATTAGCATTATTACGCTCAGTTTCAACAGCAACAAAAGTAAAGGCATCTTTAAAAACTTTGATTTCTTTACCATCCACAGTTTTATCTTCTGTAGGTGGTGTATAACCAGATTCAACTACAGCCCAAGTTTTACCTCCTGAATTTTGCCAATAGGCCCTCATCTTAGATTTCCAAAAATTATAATCGTTTCCTTCAAATAAAGGAACACGTTGATTAGAACCACCTTCTTTCAACGCATAAGACATGATGAAACAAAAAACAATCAAAACTTTCCACGAGGATCAACTCAATGTGTAGAGATTGGCTCTGATACCAATTTGTGAGTTGTGGAGCAGAAGATTACTTGCGTAGAAAGTTTTGTATTAGAGTTAGAGATGACACCAGGATTTTTAGAGATAACACCATGATTTTTAGCTAGGAAACCCTAATTGGTAAAATAGACCAACTGTTTACGCGGGAAAAAGCTCGTAGACTATGCAATCCAAAGTAAACCGATCCACTATTTTTGAAACGAAGTACAATGGATTTTGACTCAGGCTCACACCTTATTGTTCTACCAAATACCAATAGCTGACAATCCTCTGGCTTTGCGACGTCTCGTCCAAAGGTACTTGACTTTAGGCTTACTCTTGATCTCTGTAGAAGGATTGTTGGTAGATTAAACAACACTCCTCGAATGCTTTGACCCTTTCAAAGTATGATCACTTCACCCCTGTTCTTCAATAGCTGAATTTGTAGGAGAAGTATAGATCTGCTTTTTTTATTGTTGTAGATGCAAGACTTTGGTCACGATCAAGATTTGAACAACACTTTAAACTCACTCTTGTGTTTATGTGTGTATTCTAGAAAGAATGACAGAAAAATCAACTTTGATTTTATGCAAAGATATCTTTCTAAGGCTTTTAAGAATTATGAAGTTGTAGTGCAAAAGCCGTATCAACCTAGATGTAAATCGAGGTTTATATAGAATATTCAAAGACCTAGATATGCATATGAAAATGTAATTTTCGTGCATAGGACTTTAGGTAGTATTCTAAACCAAATAGGAAGTTTGAACAGAATGAGGAAACTAAAATCCTAAATTGTATCAGCAGTTGGTACCGGTAGCCAGGAAGTGGAACCGGTTCCCAAAGGACAGAATGGTTTCTTCGAAGCTATGGTTCTTGAACCGGTTCCTAAGCTTGGTACCGGTTCTCACTTGACAGAATTTTGAAGAATGTTTGAAAAACTTGGAAAAATTATGTTTTTGGTAACTTAAAGAATATGCCATATAGGTATAGTGTCTTAAGTGGGAAACAACTTCCTAAAGTGTTGTTCTTTCCTTGTTCGTAAATCTCAGTATGAACAACCTTCCAATTCCGCAGCCGATCTCGATCCTGATATGGTAACTTGAAATTACAACTCGATCAGACTTGTTTTGATATCAAAATTTGCCAATTACAAAAATTATATCTCACAAATTCCCTGGCTTTGTTCGGGATACCTTCTCATCATCTTTTGAGTCATTTCTTTGTCAAGTTGGGCATTCATGATATTCATGCTCCAACTTGAGGGGGATCATTAAAATATATAAATATTTCTCTATAATCGTGGAGCAAAGTCCTCCACCACTCACAGTGATCCAGTCAATTTCCTTCCAATTATAAATATTTCTATATAACGGTAGAGCAAAATCCTCCACCAATCACGGTGCCTCCTTTGACTATTTTACACCTTCCATATATATTCTTATCTTTACCATGCCTATATATAGGCTCTTTGTACTCAAGCAATAAACAGATCTGAATAATAGAAATGTAGCCGTTAGTGACTCTTTGTCCATGGATGTAGGCTTTAGTGACGAACCATGTATATGCACGTGTTCTCCATCTTTCTCTCTTCCCTTTTCGTATTTGCATTTCTTATTTCCGCATCCAAATTTAACAATTTCAAATTTGTTGTAGGCTATCAGTAGCAGGAGAAGGGCATGTTATGAACATTGGCTGATGCCAGTTGGTGTAGAGGGCAACCTACCCTATTGTGCATTACAAATCATTATTAGATATAAATATAAGGTGACTACAAGAATAAGCAAAGTTCCTTAAATATGCATTCTTCTACAAATCTTCTTTGTTACAGCTGTACCGTTGGATTTTATTGTGTGTGTGCCCGTGTCGGATATGCAAGAACTCTTTTGCTGAGTTGAACTGATTACACTCGTTTCAGATGTGCAAGAATTCTTTCTGCTCATCCCAGTTCAGTGAAATAATACGTATCTAGCTGGACAAAAAAATACTTGTTTAATTGTATAATCTTCAAGAAATTGTAGGTTTTGTGAACTTGCTCTTATGCTGATCTCTTTTATGCTTATCAATTTTTTTCTTCTATAAGATGTTATTATAGCACATCCATAACAAGGTGCACATAAAAAAATACACAATTTCCTATTGTTGTGATATATCTTTATCTGAAGTTGCTGTCATGTAATTCTTCTAATGCAGGAATTAAATGGCCATTCTTCCAGAAGTGATATGATAAGTTGAGTACAATTTCGAACCTTTTATAGTGCTCTTTCTCTAATTTTGTGATCCTCATGGGGTGACTCTTATTTCATATTCAACTAATGTGCTCTTTTTCTCAGAGGTTACTCTTATCACGATTTTGGTCCTCTGATCGTTTTTATTATGGACTTACAGTGCTAACAGGAATCCACTTGAAAGATTTCTTTGTTGAGAGAAACAGGAGAAATCCTCTCTGAAATAGTCAAAATTCCAAGACTCCATTTTCCTTTCCAGTTCTGACATTATCTGCATCTGATTTATTTTTGCAGTCCTTTGTGTTATGTTAATTATCAATGTTATGGCAGGTTCTGCTGCTGTATTGTTGGAATATATAGCAAGAAGAAAAACTTTTATGATCACCATGGGACATGGTTGACCTTAGAGTCTCTCCAGCACAGAAGGTAATTTCAAATGAATGTGGAGGAATTTTAGGTTGAAAGAAAAAGGGAGTAGAGGAACTTGATGAAGCAAATCTTTGGCTGAATGAAAGAAACATGAACTATTTGAGGAAAACTCAGGTATCGATTTAAGGAGACTGCTCACAATGTCCATTCTATGAACTAAAATTAAAAGAGGAATATGAGGTATGCACCACGTTGGAGGAGATCAATGAATATAGTAACATTTAATGATAGTGCTTTTGATTATATTTTCTTTTGGGGGATTTTATGCTTCTAGAATGATCTAAGCTTATATGGACGTGGGCATAATTTTGCTCTCAAAAACCTTAGTTTGCTTCAGTTAAACCTTTAGGTCAGCAAAATAACCTCTAGGTGAGTTGCTCTGCATGAAAATTTGGAGTTAGGCAATCTCTATTGAGCATTCCAAATTGAGGTATCTTCTCTATTATGGATTGTTTGTCATATATTTATATGTAGCTTGTTTTTTCTTCAATTCAGTCTCTCGATACGAGGAAAGAGAATAAAGGGATAGTTTATACATGTTGAGTTGGATTGCCAAGTAAGACTTGCATTACATCTATAGAATAAAGGGATAGCTTATACATAGAGCATTCCCTTTGGTGCCTAACATATTAAATAGTAAATACAAAGTGGCAGTAACTAAAATTTACAAACAACAAATCAATTTGTTAAATTATAATTTAGAATTGAGAACTTCATTGAATTTTTTTACTTAAATTACTCCTAGAATTAATCTTTCTTGTTATAAAATTTCCTTCATTTCACTTTTCTTCTGTTCATAGTGAGACTATCCTATTAGAAATGTCCAACTTAGCAGGTGTATTATTATGGGGCAGGAAAATTTTGAAAGACATGGAGCAGGGGAAGAAGGAGGGGCGAGGCACTTATCTGGATTCTCAAGTGTGGAGCCAGTAGTTGAATAATAGTTGCTGAACTTGCTTCAGCTATATGATCAAATAGCACATGGTAATCCATTGCCACTGATTGATATTGAAGTGTTGCACGCCCCCCCAGCCCCCCCAACAAAAAAAAAACATAGGAGAATTGATTTGAAACAGATAAATTAATGGAGGCTGATGGGTGAGAGAAAAATTGAGTCCTTGAAATTTATCTGGTGCTCTAAGTCACATCTGAGATAATGGCATCATCATGAAAAATATCTCGACGCATGGAATACCCAAAAAGGGCTTGTGGTGCTGTAGCACGTTTGCAGATTGTGAGCTTGTAATGGATATGAACTATTGATGCAACAATGGTGCCTTGGAACTGACGAACTGTCATGTTATGAAGAAGTCAATTTATTTTTTTGTCCCATAAAGAAGTAATTATGTTTGTATTACTAAGTGACTGGAGAAGGAGTAAATGCTATATTGGAGCCTGGAGGTTTGGAGGGAAGCTCTAGAATTAAAAGGGTTTAAGATAAATAGGAATAAAACTGAATATATTAATAAATGTAGAAATACAAATAGGGATGAAGTGAAAATTAAGGATCAAGAGGTACAAAAAAATGAACATTTCCTTTATTTAGGCTCAATCATTCATAATAAAGGAAAATTGGACACGATGTTAATCATTGAATCAAGGTAGAATGGGTTACATGGAGGAGACCGTTTAGTATATAGTGCGATTGGCGTACCCCAAGTAGTTGGGAGAAAAGTGTTGTTGAGTTATTACTAAGTGTCTGTTAATGTAGCATAGGGAAGTGAGGAGTGATATATAAATATTAAAGGTGTTACAGATTGTGTGGGAAGCTTAAGAGTCTGTCTAGATAAAGTCGAGTGTCATTAGTTGTTGTATTATATAAGGGATAGCCCCTTCCTCTGTTGTAACAAGTTTTCATAATTTCTTTATCTTCTTAGTTTATAAACTGTTATTGAGGCTGTTCCCATGGTTTCCTTCACAAATAGAAGCTTTGACACTGATTGGAGTTAAATCAGTCTTTTCTTATTTTCCTAAGAGAGTTGTTTCTCTGTTTGCTTTAACTAAAATTTTCTATACAGTTTACTTGATGTAATCGTTTGAAATCAATACATTTTATACTCTATATTCTTCTTCAAATTAGTTTCTTAATCACATGGGAGCATAATTACTCTGTTCCATTTTGTTTGATGATGGAAATTTTTGAATAGTTTCATCTAAACTAGCATGTTCTTTTTCATTTCCTTCTCATTTTAATGCTCGGATGTTAATCTCAATAATTGCTCTTACATACTTCTGCATCTATGTCCGAACATGGCAGAGAAGACTTCATCGACAAAATGCGTGACTTGTACTCACAGCTGACAAGACTACAGGATCAGTTGGAGAAAGAGAGAGAGGTAAGGGAAGTGCTGGAAGCTGGACGTAAAATGTCCCAAGGGCCCTTACATGTCTTATCCACTATAGATGAGAAAGAAAGTCAACCTCACAATTAATGGTATAATTGGTTTTTGTTGTGGAACAAATTGCTAATTTGTGAATGTGCTTATGACGAGGGAAATCATGGTTACTCCCAAGTGATCAATCAAAACTGATAAGTTAATCTATTTGGTCATATGTAAAATGCATTCCACGATTTCATTTTTGCTTTCTTTGAGTGGACTAGCATCTTTTTTTATTGCAAGTTTTCAAATATAAGATAAATTCCTGTGTAAAAAATTTAACAGTCTACTTAGTGGCAAGCATGTAGAGCTGTCCATGCTTAGAAATGGATAAAATTTTAAAGGATGCTCATCTTTTAGTGCTTGTTGCACTCAGTTTGTTTTCTCATGTTATTGCCATCTTAATTTGGGTACAGGAAGGATGAAGAGAAAGACCTTGAAATTACAGCTACTTCATGTATCCTTGAAAGGTCGACAAGAAGGAAGGTATATATACTTTCATGTCAACATCAATTTCATTATTGGCAGTAATAAAATCTCCTTGAGTGATTTGATAAGCATTTTATTGTCATGTTCGATGTTTGGACAGAAATTGGTGGATTATAGAATATCCTGAAGGTAAACTATAGCCTTATTTTATTTTTATTTTGTAGTTGAAATATGAAATTTGTATTGAGTTTTTGGCTGGTGAATCACTATTCAGTGAACTTTGTAATCTCTCGTTAGAAAAAAACATTCATTGCCTTACTACACTTTGTACATGTTGCACAACCATAGAAGGTTACTTGAATCATTCAGCCAAAAAAAGAAGTATTGTTGTAGGTTAGAGTTATGCCAGGTTAGCATACTTTTTAATTGTCTCTGAAATTTAAAACCTGGATGACCTGTTTTAATATATTTTTTTTTATAAAACCTTGGTAAAATAATACAAAAATTGCTTGATCTCTCAATCATACTACAACTAAGTCTTTGAATTGTTTTCCTAAAACTAGTAGGCCCCACATTGAGTGCCACAAATACATCAAATATTGATATATTTTTCATGGTTTTTATTAGTCCATTCATTCATTTTGAGAAAAAAATGCTATTGCTTATTTAGATTTGATCGTTTATCATGTATCCTGGTGCAGCAGATATAATTATTTTGTTTTTTCACTAAATTTCATCATCTTATAATTTGGTTGCCTTGTCAGTTTTTAATGTTCCAATCAATTATTTCATCATCTTATAATAACACTACAAATTTGATTCTGATGTCCACCATGCTTCAGGGAGTTGTTGCTTAAGTTCAGACACCCAGTAAGCCAATGATGTACAGATCATCCATATCCTTGGTGTAAGGTTTTTTTTTTTTTTTTTTTGTCCCTGTTAAATGTGTAAATTGAATTGTTTTGGAAGTCTGTTGAAGGTTGTATTGAAAACCTTGGTTTCAAGTCTCTATTGGACCTTCACTTCATTGCTGTAGGAAAACCTTTGTCAGAGTTCAAATGTAACTAAATAGTTGAAATATATGCTGAGGTTGAAATATATGCTGACAGAACACAAATAGTCAGGTTGAGATTAATTTTCTTATTTCAGTGTCTTGAGCTTGTTTTGCTTTGTTTTTATACACACAGGAAATTCAACTAGCATAGTAATAGTTATTTATTTATTTAAAGCAAACGCACACTTTTGCCCATGCCTGGACATGAACCCCTCCCCTCAAAGAGGAGGGGAGGTTATAAACCATTGGTCCTTTGGTAAGTATACCAACAGTTGCCAAATGGAATTTACCATTAAAGAGTTGTGAACCCCTGCATACTTTCAATGATTTCTTTCCCTTGTGTGTTACAGCTTTGAATGGTGCAAATTATGACCTCATCTTCTCACATTATAGCTCATTTATGAATGGAGTGAGACAATGGCTAGTGGAAAAAATAACTCGCGGTACCTATAATGTAGTACTTTCGTAAATTGAAAATTCCTCATTTTCCTTTATTATAACAAATAACAATTCAATATTGGCTTACTGTACCATATTTTCGGTACCGCCAGTGCGATCAAATAAACATTGTCTAACAATGATTCTTTCTTATTCAGTATTAAGAGGATGGAATTTCTCTCCTCTCAAGTATTTATCTCAATGATGGAATTTCTCTCCTCTCAAGTATTTATCTCAATGATTGTCATGTCAGTAGAATTGATCATTATTTATGAGATATTATACATATATACATATATATTAAAAAAAAAAAAAACAACAACAACAACAATACACACAACGAGGAATATATATATATATATATATTGTGGAAGTAAAGTTATTTGGAAGATGTCAATAAATGTTTGAAGCCCTAATTTCGCATTGCACACTGATTGAAGATGGCATTAATTTAGAAACATAATGATGCCAAGGGATTACATGCTTATAAGTGAAGTGGGATCAATGATAACCTTACCTTATTGTTATTATAGTTATCATTTTAATTATTAGCAGCAGCAGATCTTCCTTATTTTAAACACCAAACTATTTTCATGTCCTCACACTTAAAGTACCATAATTTATGAGATAATCATATATGCTTGCTTTTAACCCCAGTGCTAGCATTGTTCCCACATAAATGTCAAGCTATCAAGCCAAACAACACTTGGGGGTGTATTTGGGTCCCACTTCCATTGGAAATTTACTGATTGGTCTCGAATCTTATGTATTCTCTCTCAAATGTGTAGGTATGATAATTGGACCAAAATTTATAAATATAGAAATCATATATTTTCCTTTTTGATGGAAAAATAAAAGCAATTGAACTTTTAAATTAAAACATTATTTAGGTGTTCAACCAAGTGCTTTTTCAATTTGATTTGATTGCTTGACAGATGGTTTGTCCAACAAACTTCCAAACGGAGATATTTTGTTACACTAGCAAGTGTCTGAAATTAGGAAAATGAAAGTGATTCAATTTTTTTTTTTTTTTTCTTGGCAAATTACACATTCACCCATGGACTAAAATTATTTCATGTTAAATGGTGGTTACATTTCTGGTGGGTTCAACCGCTCCCATTGTGACGAGTTCGACCAACCTTGGCTCTTTAGGTTTTAGATCCAAAATTATTTTCCTTTGTTTTAGATCGAACATTGTAGCATTATTCCAAACTATTATATTTTGTCCCATAAAGACTAAAACACACTTTTTAATGGTGCTTGTACAATTTAATTTGATAAATTCTTAAATTTTAGGGGAGGTGATAAATACACTTCACGTTTTTTATAAATACACCCTACTTTTAATGCGAAATAACATTAATGTCCTTAATTCAATTCATGATAATGAAATATAAGGGCATTTACTTTCCCAAAAAAAAATTATATATATATATATATATATATAAGGGCATTTATATCATTTAGTTAAAAAATATAGTGCATTTATCATATCCCAATTTTAAAACTCAAAAACTTCGAGCCACTATTATTATTATTTTTTTGTTTTCCACTAATTCAACATTTATATTTTGATCAACACGAGATATTTTTCTAGGTTTTCCAATCAAGACACAATTTAGTTTCTCTTTTGTCAATTTTCATTTGTAAATCATAACTAATTCAAAGCTTTCAATGAAAATAGGCCTAATCAGCATTATTATTATTATTTTTTATTTTTTATTTTTTATTTTTTTGCCTAAAGGTAAGTTGTGATTTGTGAATCATCAAAATGTCTTAAGGATTTCACTAGCGGTTATTTTCCTTTTCACTTTTTTCTTTATCTACCAAAAATAGGTGGATTCAATTGCCAACTAAATATGTTGAGACAGCAAGATAAAAGGGGGAAAAAAAAGAGAGAGCATATAATTAATACCTTTTAGCATAGTTAATTTTTGGTGAAGCAAATATTACAAATGATAAACATATTTAGAACATTATGATGAAAAGTTAGAAGGGAGCAAAAAAAGAGAAGGATGAAATGAAAATTTTCTTATTGTTGACCATTGATTGTATTACCTTCAATAATTTAATTTTCTTACCCAAAATTTATCTAAATGTGCATTTTGACACCTCAAATCCCAATTTTACATGAACTCAAAGTTTAATATACAATTTATTTAAAATATTTACAATTTTATAAAAAGTCACTATTCATTTGAAGTATATAGCCAAAATGTTATGTGTATTCGGTTGCATGAAATTAGAGTCTTAGAATTGAAATTTGTGAAATTTGAGAAAAACAAGAATTTTTTTTTAAATTCCACCAATTCCAATTCAAATTCCAAAACTCTAATTTCATACCACCGAACACACCGTAAAACCTTTAAAAGTGAGGCATTCATTTTAAAGAATATAAGCCAAACTGCCCTTATAACCTTTAAAAGTGAGGCATTCTCATGTACTAAAGTGGTGCTTCAAGATATTTGAAATGAAAAGTGGTGGCAATTGGCTTGATAAGAACACTTTGGTTACAATTTGTAAATTGGGAATGATTTATTCTGTACCTAACTTTATAACCCTAATTACACATTTAGATAATTTTTGGACATTTTATAAAATTGACTATATAAACAACTTAAATGAATTGTTAATCTACAACGTAATGTATATAAAAGTAGTCTTATTGTTTTGTTAATTAACTGAAATAATATGAAGTCTGAATTTAGTAATGCATGTGATTTGCGAATGATTATACATTCCAAAATTTACAAGTCGTTCGGCAAATTTAAACTGACTAACGGTGAATTGATTCATTGTTATAATTTTTTTTTTTTTTTTTAAAAAAAAGAAAAAAAAAAGGGGGCTTACATGAGCCAAATGTGTGTGAGAGAGAGATCAAATGAAGGTAAATAAGCGACAAACCTAAAGGAATAGAGTGAAAAAAAAAAAAACACAAAAGGGGGGGGGGGGGGCGAGGGCAAATGAAGGTAAATAAGCGACAAACCTAAAGGAATAGAGTGACTTCAGACATCCACTTTCTTTTCTTTATTTATTTATTTTTTATTATCTTCAATCACTACACAACAAGCGGAGAAAGAATTGGAGGAGAGGTTGAGACATGAGAGCAAGAAAAATATATAAAAATAGTGAAATAAATCCCACGCGCCAGTATATAGCGCGTAGGTTGCAGTTAAACTAAGTGTTTTAAAAATGAGCTGTGTCAGCTTTTTTTTTTTTTTGTTTTTTTTTCTCCATCACTTCTCTGAAGCCTGAAGGGTAATAAAGGCTAAAAAGCTTCTGAAGCCAAACTGTTTATTTTTAACCTTTTTCTTTTGAGATTGGACCGTGCTTGCCACTTTTATAAGTAGAGTAGTAGATTTGAAAGTCTTCTCTACTTCTACTATATGTTCTTACAAATTATGATAGTAATATATTGTATGTGTGTGTGTGTATATATATATACACGGTTCATTGCAAATAAGTCCTTTTCTTTTGTCTCATTTATTGGTAAGCCTATTTATTTTTGTGTTATTACACACTCATCCCTAAATCATATGAAAATATATTTTGGAATTTTCTAAAATGACACCAAATTTCTACCCTAAATCTTAAAGAGGGGCATAATATATATATATATATATATATTTCACACCATACAAGAGTATTATTATTCTTCAGTTGCTTTTATAAAAGGGATAATTACACGGACCTCTCTTATGATTTGTCATAATTATAAGAACCTCCCCTATAATTCTAGAAATTACTCAGACCTCTCCTAAAAATAAAAGTAACCTACATATACCTCCCTTATGTGACAGTCAACTCGAGTTAATGATGGATTTTGCTAATGTCATGTACGGAATAAATTAAAAATTTTAAAATACCCTCATATTATCCACTACATGTACATACGTGTGTAAACAGTGTAGAGTATATACAGGGGTTTCTTCTATTCAATTGGCTATTCTCTCCGATTCTCAGCAAAGGAAAATCATCATGTTATTATTGTATATGTAAACTTTAGACTTCCAATAAGAAGAAACACAACGCAACCATGATCTAGCTCTATCTAAACAACAGTTAACTTTACCAAAAACCTATGCATTTCCAGATCTTAACCCAATTTTTAACTCCCACCAAGAATGGCTTCTCCGAAAGCCCATTCCCGTCTAAATCAGCTCCTAATCCCAACCCTAGAAAAGATCATAAAAAACGGTTCGTGGCGCAAAACACTCCAAGCTCGTCCACCAATGCAAAGTCTTTCTTGAGCAAATCACTTCCCCAGAAAAGCCACATCTCACTCCCACTTCACCGGACCAATCAGAGCCCGACCCCTCGTCCCTCCCCGGCATCCTCGACAACGGCTGTGCTACTGAATTCTCCCTTGCCGACTCCAAGCTCATTCTCGGTCGCATTATCAAAGCTTATGGTTCCGAAAATCTTAAGATTACCGAACTTGGTCTTTATTGTGTTTAGAAATTGATCACTTGTATGGCCTCCTCCACGGTGAATCGAACCCCACCGGTGGCTCCGAGGAGAAGTTGTTGGCTAAAGTGACTGAATTGGTATGTAAATTTAAAGATTTGGGCGATGAGTGGGTTAAATTATTGGTTTTGAGGATGATGTTTCAACGGGGATGTCAGTGTTGCTGTTACAGATACACGACGATTGTTTTGTTGCAGATTGTGAGGACTTGTTATAATGTGTATTCATATATATATATATATATATATATATATATATATATATATCAATATATTTGATATATATTGTTGACTTTAAGGATTTCATCCAATGACAATCTAGTTGTTTTGATGATAATAAACCATTAATGGTGTTTAAGGATTAATGTTTACATTGAGTGTTATATAGATTATTCATATTCAAAGAACGACCTCAATGAAGCACCAATTTTCATTCCAAGTATTTCATTATTCAAGATCACATGAATGAAAGAAATGGAAACAAAGAAGAGTTAGAGTTGCAAGGAACAAAATGCAATGTTCGTCCAAAGATAGCTTGGACTACAATGAGCAAGAAAGCAACTCAAAGGAAGTAAGAAAGCAAGGATACCTCAAAACCTAAACGATCATGTCAAAGCTCGAAAAAATGGGTAGATAGGATAGTGAGTGTTTATGATTCAATATCAAAGTATTTATGAATACATTTAAAGCTCATCTCTATAGGACCATGCATCATTACATTATTCATAATTTCCTATGACTATTAGTAATAGATTATGAACTTCATTCACATCTAATTGACATATGAAGTCATTGCTAAAGAATTAGTTAGTTCAAGCTTGCTTAAGCTTTGAAAGGACCCAACATTTAAGCTAGAAATGCTAAGACCATGCACATTAATCATAAGATTTATTTTAGTCTCTAGAAAGTAAAAGTAAGGCTTAGAACTAATTTGTTCATCTTTAAAACCTTTGTTACCATGATTTGGTAAATGACTCTAGGACACAATGCACTTGATATTTATCATCCTTATATGTCCTTAAACTCTTAGAATTTGGACTTGAACTAAATTGAACCATACATCAAAACCTAGGTGTTAGAAAAATGGCTATCTCATAAAAAGTAATTTTCAGCCCATAAAATTTTCAGACCAGCCTGTACTAAAATTGCTATAACTATTTTTATAGTTGGAATTTTTAAGTAAGGCCAGTGGAAAGTTGACTTCGAGCCTTTGAGTTTAGACTCAAATTTCACCTAAAAATGATTTGAATTGAATGAGATATGAACATCACAAAATGCATGTTTCTGGTCTGCGAAATTTCTGACCAGGTTGCACTAAAACAGCTATAACCATTTCTGTGGTTGGAGTTTTTGAGTAAGGCTGGTGGCATTAGAAAGCTGACTTCAAGGAAATAAAGTTAGACTAAAATTTCACCTCATTTGGAGTTAAATGGACCAAGTTATGTCCATTTGAAGTTTGCCCAACAATAGAGTCGTCTCCCTAAGAGATAGAACTGGCTCTTGACATTCCAGTAGCCAATTTTCAACGAAAAATACCAACTCCCAGCAACAGAGTAGGCTCCATGTTTAGGGAGCAGGCTCTCAGAGGTAGGGAGCCTGTTCCATGCAATGGAGAGAAGGCTCTCAGAGCAAAGGGAGCTGCTTCCTTTAAGGACAGAGCAGGCTCTGCTCCTATGATCTGATTCCAACGGCCATTTTATTCAAAATTCGAATTGTCCTCCTTTTTCGTCATTATTAAGCTTCTAAAACCTCTATAAATACCAAGGGAATGTCGAGACAAAATTACACCATTCAAAAGACATTATATTGCATTAGAGAGCTTTTGTTCTCATCTTCTCTTCATCTCTCTCATTTCATTCTCATATTAATCTTGAGATATTCAACTAAGGATTCAAAGAGCTTTTGTTTTAGTTCTAATCCTCAAAGAGCTTTTGCTTTATTCTACACTTGAGAAATCTTATTGAGTTCATAAGAGCTTTTGTTCTTCATTTAAATCATCTTCTCTCATTCGTATCATTCATAGAGTTTGAGCTTCATTTATATTCATCAATACTCTAGTTGTGAGCTGAAAATTGTACTACTATCTTTGAGAGATTTATTATACTTCACTGTTATTATTCCTATCAATTGTAAAGGTTGGTATGACCCACCAGGTTGGTGTAACCCAAAGGAATACTAAAAGAGGTTGTCTCTTAGCAAGGTGAAGCAATGAGTTGCTTCATGTAAAGGTTTGCTTTCCACCCATAAGGAGAAGCCATAGTGGATTGGGAAGTCTCAAGAGGGATCTTGAGCCGAGGAGTATGAGTTTCCGAACCTCGCTAAAATCACCAAGTCATTGTTTACAATTTCTCTTCCCTTATCTCTTTTACAATTATGCTTTAAATTGTTTACTTTTACATCTTACTTTCATATCTTGATTATTACATAATTGGTTAGATTGTTGATTAGAAATTGTATTTTTATAAATTGCGAAAATTGGCCATTGACTCTATTCACCCCCCTTTAGAGTCAATTCTTAGGTAACATATATATATATCTAAAAGTATATGGTAGTTGGAGAATTTTAGTAAATTAGACAGGTCTGTTAGTCCATTTGACAGTCTGTCACTAGTAGGGGAAGTCTGTATAAAAATGTTTCATTTTTAAAAGAGGTCCATGTAATTTCTGAAACCATAGGGGTGGTTCTTGTAATTATTATAGCAAACCATATAGGAGATTTGTGTAATTAACCCTTTATAAAACATAAAGGGCGAAGTGAGAAAAAGACCATACGGTATTGATTTAGTGTATATAATCCTCTTTTGTTTTAAAAATACCTTTACATGTTCACTTTTGGTGCGTTTGGGAGCCTAAAGTTAGTTTATCGTTAGTGGATATTTTAAAAGACTTAAATACCCCTCAAAATGATATAAAAAAAAAAATGCAAAAAGACAAAAAAAGACAAGTGATGGCGTCTGACTTGCCTAAAAGACCCCAATCCCCACGAACAAAAGATAGTATAGATATGCATACATATATATTTGTAGTTCATTTATAAGTAGAGAACACTTATATATAGATAGAGATTTTAAAGAGAGAAATTGAAACGCAAGAAGTCAACCAAGGTATCAGTGAGGGCCAAAAAAATTGACTAAAATTTTGAAATAATTGGATATTGAATCGAGCATCTTTAACTAATTCAGAAATGCTCATGCTCCTTTTCTTTTAGTTAGAACCTGCATAACCACTAGCATAATCGTAATTTGAAGATTTTTTAGTTTATCACGTATTATATTGGTAACCTCAACATTTTAATTTGACCAACTATTTCACCATTAAGGTTTTCACAAATATATATTTGATGCTCTCTCTGAAATATGAGTTTTCATTGTTTTCTTAACCTATTGTCTATTATGTAATATATATACATATATTTTGCTTAGACAAAGAATTCTCCTCTTGAGAGATTTAAACCATTTACATTTTACTTTAAAAGAAAATGAGATACCACTTGATCACATGTCTTGATACTTACTTTCTATTAAGGCATCGGTATGGCAACCCAACCATAACCCCGTCGTGTGGGGTTCGCCACATGGCATAGCCATGTGCTCGCCATAGTTGTTGAGCCAAAGGGTGGCTTCCATTTTTTTATTTTAATAAAGAACTTCTTTGAGCCCAACGTCGACTAAATGAAAAAAAAACATAGGCCATGTAAGAATCGATTAAACTTTTGAAAGACTTGACTAACTAAAAAATTAAAATAAAATAGAATTACCTTAGAATCAACTATACCTATGTAAGAGTCAACTAAATGAAAAATATATATACAAGTGACCGCCCAACCAACACTATATCGGCTCGCTGAGATGATCATTTTAAGTAGCTAGTCACGTTAGTGCAATGAAGTGGCTCGCTAGCCACCAAAAGTGACGATTTGAGAGGATAGCCACTAGGGGTGGTCACAAATCGAATCGGATCGGATTAGGTATCAATCCTAATCCGATCCGTTCCAAACGGATTATAAAAATCTTAATCCGTCACCGATCCGCGGATTGGATTTTATCTAAATTATCTATTATTATTTTTATAATTAATATTATTTATTATTTATTATTTATTTATCTTTTAACCATCCCAATACATAAAATTTTAATTTATTAATATTAATTCATATATTTAAATCATTATTAACTAATACATCTTTAGATTCCATTAAATTATCATTAACTAATTAAATTAACTAATATATTCTTTCAAAAAAATTTATATAAATTTCATGGATCGGATTGGATTTTTAACAATCCAATCCGTTATCCGATCCGTGAGTTACGGATTCGATTTTTTTAAATCCGCCACCGATCGGTGGATGTCGCAATTCGATTCGGTCCGATCCATATGACTCTGACCGGATCAGATTTACGAATTCACAGATTATTTGTCCACCCCTAATAGCCACAACACTAGATAACCTTAGATCTGTAATAGGCTAGAAATGGGACAATGTTTTCCAAGGACTACAAAGTAAAATTGCAAACTAAAAGGACATATTTGTGAATAGCTTTAAAGAAGGGTTTTTTTTATAAAAAAAAAGAAAAGAAAAAGAAACTCAATATAGTCTAGTACTTTACTAAAAATAAAATAAAAAAGAAAAGAAAAAGAAAATGAGAACTACTTCTAAAAAAAACTAAAATAAAAGACAAAGCTTGAAAAGAAAACCCCAAATAATGGAGGAGAAGTGTGGAGGGCCATCGGATATTGCAGATGAGAGAGAAAGAGAGAGGAGCATGAAGAATCCCAATGCACAGATATAGAGATATACATATAGAGAGAGACAACTGAGTGTGGTGAGAGAGAGAGAGAGAGACAGCTGAGTGTGTACTGTGTGGACTCTCTGTGCCTTGTCACCAATTATTCATTATTTTTTTCTGGGCAAAAAAGGCATAGAAAGGGAGTGCTGGCACTCCCTATGCCGCGGAAAATCTCATCTCTCTCTCACTCTCTCTCTAGATTTATGTAAAATTTCTCTCTCTACTCTTCCGCTCTGATGCTATGATCTGAACATAGATTCGATCTTCCTATAATATCTCCAAAACGACCCACCCAGATCGGAGATACACCGACCCATGAAAGAGGATCGCTCGGAAATGTCCGAAGACGACGGCGATAGCCCGTCGCCACCGGATCTCGGCGCCTGCGCCACCGAGACATCCTCTAACAGATCTCGGAGCTGCGCCGTCGTGGGCGGCGGCTTTTACGTCTCTCCGTCCGCAGAACAAGTGCTGGAGAACGTTCTCGAGAACGTGCTCTTGTTCCTGAGCTCTCGGCGGGACCGGAACGCCGTGTCCATGGTGTGCAAGTCGTGGTACCGTACGGAGGCGCTCATGCGATCGGAGCTCTTCATCGGGAACTGCTACGCGGTGTCGCCCCGCCGCGTGACGGAGCGGTTCCAGCGGGTCAGGGCGGTGACGCTGAAGGGGAAGCCGAGGTTTGCTGACTTCAATCTGATGCCGCCCAATTGGGGTGCGCACTTCACCCCCTGGGTCAAAGCCATGGGCGAGTCTTATCGTGGGCTCGAGAAGCTCTACCTCAAGCGCATGACCGTCACGGACGACGATCTTGAGATCCTGGCTAATTCGTTCCCGTGTTTCAAGGAGCTCGTGCTCGTCTGCTGTGAAGGGTTCAGTACTAGTGGACTAGCGTTCATTGCCAACAACTGTAGGTCAGTGAAAATTTCTAGGGTTTTGTTTCCATTTCACATTTCAATTATCTAGTATTTGATCTTTATATTGCTAGCTAGTATGATTTTTAGGTGCTGTTATGAATTGGGTTTAGCTCGACCTGTTCATGTTTAGATCTACAATTGTTCTGATAGATTGTGGTGTGGCATTTTGCCTTTCTTATAACCCAATTGGATTCTTAAACAAAAATGATATAAAATTGCAGCAAAAACTGAGTGATTAGATACTTTATATATGTAAATTTGAGTACTTGATTGAAACGCAGACATGGGTTTGGCTAGCTTAAAATTTTAGAGTGGAAGATTAAATGGTGGTGTTAAATTTTAATGGGAGATCCTTATACATATCTATTGATCGAATCACAGGCAACTTCGAGTTCTTGACCTGATTGAGGATGAGGTTGCAGACGATGAGGTGGATTGGATTTCTTGTTTCCCAGATGGAGAAACTTGTCTGGAGTCTCTCATATTTGACTGTGTTGAGTGGCCGATAAATTTTGAGGCATTGGAGCGACTGGTGGCAAGATCACCTTCGTTGAAGAAACTTAGTTTGAACCGATATGTTTCGATTGGGCAGCTTTACCGTGTGATGGTTCAAGCTCCACAGCTCACCCATCTTGGGACAGGCTCATTTAGTCCCTCGGAAGTTGTTGCTCAAGGTGACCAAGAACCTGATTATGTCTCCGCTTTTGCTGCTTCCAAATCTTTAGTTTGTCTCTCAGGTTTCAGGGAAATTATACCGGGTTATCTGCCTGTCATCTATCCGGTCTGTGCTAATCTCACCTCTCTGAATTTTAGCTATGCCAACATTAATGCAGAACAACTTAGATCAGTCATTTGCTACTGCCATAAGCTCCAGATTTTCTGGGTATGTGTTTGTTGTGTTATTATGTTTTTAGTGACCTTTGTGGCCTATATTGGGTTTTTAAGCTGACCATCGGTTTCTGCAGGTACTGGATTCAGTCTGTGATGAAGGACTTCAGGCAGTGGCTGCTACATGTAAAGATCTCCGGGAGCTTCGAGTATTCCCTATTGATGTTAGCGAGGATAGTGATGGCCCTGTTTCCGAAGTGGGTCTCCTCGCAATTTCTGAAGGGTGTAGAAAACTGCAGTCAATTTTATATTTCTGCCAGCGGATGACAAATGCAGCTGTGATAGCCATGTCCAAGAATTGTCCAGATCTGGTGGTGTTCCGTCTCTGTATAATGGGGCGGCTTCGGCCTGACCACACTACTTTAGAACCAATGGATGAGGGTTTTGGTGCCATTGTCAAGAACTGCAATAAGCTTACCCGGCTCGCTGTATCTGGTTTACTAACTGATAGGGCATTCAGTTATATTGGACAGTATGGGAAATTGGTTAGGACTTTGTCGGTTGCTTTTGCTGGAGACAGTGATATGGGGCTGAAGTATTTGCTAGAGGGCTGCTCTAGGTTGCAGAAGCTTGAGATCAGAGATAGCCCCTTTGGAGATTCGGCTTTGCTCTCTGGTCTCCACCACTATTATAACATGAGATTCCTCTGGATGTCGACATGTAGATTAACTCGCCAAGGTTGCCAGGAGATTGCTAGACAAATGCCCCGTCTGGTGGTGGAAATGATTGATGGGAATCAGCAAGAGGATTACAAGGGCGACTCTGTTGACATATTATACATGTATCCATCTCTTGAAGGGCCTAGGGCTGATGCACCAAGCTTTGTGAAGATCCTGTAAACTTGCTAAATGGGAGGATGTTTCATCTCTATGTTGGCTACTGAGCAAGTTATAAACTTCTTTGCAGGAAAGTTGGATATGATGAGTAGCTTTTATAAGTCATAACCTGCAAGAAGGTTCTTGCACTCTTATTTTAAACAAAGACGAGTGTGCCAAATTTTCACTTGGCCCGAGATCTTGTAACAGCATTCAAAGAAGAGGCTGTAAAGGACCTGTTTACTCCCCATGCTTTGTGGTTCTTCCACATGGTTTGAAGAAGCTGGCTAAATGTGGAAGATGGATGCCACTGTAATCATCCATTGTTGTGGTATGGGTACGCCTTTAAATTTATGTTTCTTTTCTCTTTTGTATTCATTTCGTAAAAGAAGAGGCTTCTGGAGGTAGTAGCAAGGGGAAGAATCGTTGAACTGCACCGAGGCTTGATGGATATCTGCCTATAAAACCGGATCAAATTATTCTGTGACGAAGAATCAAAGACGGGTCATGAAGAATTGGAGACGGACATGAATTTCGAGAACTTCCCTTGCGTTGCCGCGGATGAAGGAGCCATTTATTTTCATTTGATAGATCTGAGTCGTCTTATTTTCGTTCAAATGTTAGTCTCAGGACTTCAAAGGTGTAGCAGGTGAGAACGACAAACTCATATGCCCAGAATGATCCCTCCCTCCCTCCCTCTTTCTCAAAAAATGTTTGTTATTTTCAGATGTGTTGGTTCTTAGCACCTGACTGTTGAATTTGTTATTGTTATTGGTAGCAAATGTGAGATGGGTAATAAATGCCAAATATGCATTGGACCAGATATTAGTGCAAGTGTCTTGCTTTTTTTTTTTTTTTTTCTGAATATGGAATCATGAATTTGATAGTGAGCCCCATTAATGATGTATGGAAAGTATTGTACAAGTACACATTGCAGGACCCCCTCTCCATCGTCTTCACCGTGTGGGTTCCATGGATGCTTTCTCTCTCACACAGTCTCTCTCTCTTCCATTTTGATGGAGTCTGCAGAGGGTTTCAACAGTCTCTCTTATAAGTCCATTGATGAGAGACTCTCTGTGTCTCTATGATGATCTGTTGCAACTATTTTTCATCTTTTGGATATGGTTGAGCTTTAGGCCACTTCGTTATCTACTATACATTGTGTTCTAGATTTGTTTTGATTAGTACTATTGTCCATGGGTGACTGTGGGACCTTTAATTTGATGATATGTCACACCCCTTGTGTTTGCGTTATAAAGCAGCCAACCCCCACCCCCCCGCCCCCCCCCCCCCCCACAAACACACACACACACACAAACCCCTTTCTCTCTCTCTCTCTAGCTTTCTAGCTTTCTCTCTCCTGTAATAATTAGAGGAGAAACCTGCCTTCTTTGTTGGTATTCTCCATGGCAGGATTGTAAAAGCAAAGTTATCATCTAAGTGGGATCTGACTATGCAATTGAATGTGTAAGTGATGGGTGCAAGTTAGCCTTGCCTTTCCTGTCTGACCATTTGTAGGTGTAAGTGGACCAAACCATTGTTTTTCCTGCTTGCCAAACACCCAATGACAAAAGGCCACATCTTTCCCTCTTTCTCTCTCCAACTTTCTCTCTCTCTCTCTCATGACTCATGAGTGTCATTTGAGGGGCCTGAGAAAGATAAGGAAGAGGGGGGGTGGGTTTCAACAGAAGACATTAGAAGGAAATTGAATATCCCATTGCTGATGGGCTTATGCCTTATCCATATTGCTTACGGTGGGTACAGTCCAATAGACGACCATTGGAGGGAGAGGAATGAGAGCCTTTACTTTTGCATCTTCTCACATCCCAAATTGACTTCCTTTCCTCTCTCCAAAATCCTTGTCCCTTTGAGGGAAAATAAAGTGAATGAAGCGACTAGAGAGAGAAAATATATCGAAAATGACCTCACAATAAGGACAGGGCCTTGAGCATCTTTCAATCTCAGCCACCCCATAGATTATAAGCACCGTCCTTTGATGGACCTACTTCACCTAGCACAATTCAATCTATCCTTGGATAAAAATGTAATTTGCACCGAGGGAAATGCCGTCAAGCGTGGATGCTTTCACTGTGAGCGCTCCCCCGCAGCTGTACTTTTTTTATTCGAATTCGCAATGTTTTCGTTGAATCACTTTGTTTATCTGTTAACCCTAATGACATAAAGAGTCAAACACATCAACATAAATCAATCTATTCTTGGATAAAAATGTAATTTCCGTGGAGAGAAATGCCGCCAAGAGTGGATGCTTTCACCGCTAGCACTCCCTTGCGGTCGTACTCACTCGAATTTACTACATTGCGTTCTAGTTGAACCACTTTGTCTACTTATTTAACCCCAATGACAAAAAGACTTGTATACCTAAACATAATTTATCATTTCGTGACATGAATTCATATCGAAGGTGAAAATATTCAAAGAGACTCTCCATCTGTATCTGGTGCGATAAAATTTTTTCGATTCAACTTCATCACCCTAATGACAAAAAGGCTTAAATATCTCGACATAAATTTATCATTTCGTGACAAATTCAAATCGAAGGTGAAAAAACTCAAAGAGACTCCGTATTTGGTGTGATACAAGATTTCCATAACTATTTTTTCCATTCAATTGATTTACCCTAATGATAGAAAGACTCGAATATCTCAACATAAATTTATTACTTCGTGACAAATTCATATCGAAGGTGAAAATATTTAAAGAGACTCTCCATCTGCAGTATGAAACAAAACTTTCATAACAAATTCTTCCATTCAAACTCGTAACGCTTGTCTCTAACAGGAGACAGATCTAACAACAGCATAAATTTCCATTTTGCATAAAATTCATATCCACTGTGAAAAATGCCGAGTACCCTACCGAAGAGAGTCATCTGAAGCCAGCAAACTGAACAATAAATTGGTGGGACACGTGTACGGTGAGGGAGGTTCAATGCATTAATGCTTTTTAATACATGATCTTAAATTTCAATAATTATAAATTTAATAAGATTGAATGAGAAACTATTGTTGGTTGTACTTGTGATGTTAATAAAATAAATAAAGATAAGAGAGAGAGAGAAAAAAAAAAGTGGAAACGTACAAAATAACAAACAAGGAAGATATTAGTAATTGGGTGGTGGCGGGCAGTGGGAGGAAAAAAGTCGGTGAAGCACAAAAGGAGGATTGGGTTTTTCCACAACTTTTGTCTGTTAAGCACATTCATGGCTGAACTAAGCACGAGGTCAACCACTAAAGTATGCTCTCTTTCTCGTGGTGCACCACTTCATTAACTTCTTAGTTAATCACACACACACTTGCACACACTTATAAGTGTTTTTATATTTGTGTTCATGTGTTGTCTGTATATATATATATATATGTATGTATATACTGTATTATATACTCATATTATAAAATTAATAAACTTCTATCAATTTAATAAATCGGACTTAGACAGATAGTCAGACCTAATAACAACTTGTGTAAGTCGGGTCATAAGCGGGTTAGATTTTAAATGGACCGGGTCAACCCACATCTAACTCAATGGATCTTTTATAAATTAAGGGTTTTTTCTTGATTAAATTGTATGAGCATATTTGTAGAATCACATAATAAGAGTATATGTGTTGTTTGATAAGACTGAGAATTTTAAGAATTGAATTCAAAGTGATAAAGTTTTTTAGTAATAATTAATAAATAATATTTTTTTAAATTTTCAGCATTTAGTGATAAGTGATGTTCTTCTCACTTTCAGAATACATAATCAAACGTACTTAATTGAATAAATATTAATACATTTAGAATTAAGTGTTGAATTGAGTAATCAAATAATACTTATGTCATGACAAACTTGCCATACAGTGTATATATAAAGTGAGGAAAAGTTGCCAATGGACATTGATACATCGTGTGAGACCAAATTAGAATTCTTCTATACATGTTTAAATTGAATTGATTTTTTTTTTTTTTTAATTAATTAGTGTTATGTGTAAGCGGGTTACTTCAAATCATGTCTTAAGTGGATCGGATACTAAAGGGGTAGGGTTAAATCGCATCCAACTCGATGGGCAATAGGTGCAGACAGATCATAATCAAATGAGTCACACCTAATAATAACTCGTATAAATAGAGATTTTATTTTTTTTCCTTTCAATTAATTGAATAAGAGGACATGCATAGAGGAATAGTATGTCATGACAAACTTGTTATATATATATATATATATATATATAAATGATTCTTAGAGAGATGGGATTCAAATGAGTATTGTCTTTTATTATTGTTTAAGTTGAATTAAGCAGCGTTAGGTTTAAGTATGTTATTCCAAGTTATGTCTTGGTTCTCTTGGGTGGAATCGCAAAAAATTCATTGGTGAGATCAGTTCTAAACTTATACTACACCACATAATTAAAATGGTCTCAAAAATAAAATAAAATAAAATAAAATGAAGTTATTAATTAGTAGTAAAAAAGTTAATGTTGTTATTTAATAATTGCAAGTACAGTATGAGTCTGTCCTTGTTGATTCTAGCTACCATCCGATCCGATCATCATTATTTAAATCCTAAGATTGATGGGGCTGCTTTTTTATGGAGCCAAACTCTGCATGACCCACGTTTTCTTGCCGGTGCATAAAATTATTTATGTACTTGTTTGGATCAAAAGAAAATTGGGTAGGGATGGAAAATAAACTTATATATTTAGGATACATTGTGGGTAAGATTTTTATTTATTTATTTATTTATTATTATTTTTTTTGGGACAATGGTGATGTTAAGTATCTTAGAATTTAGAACTTGAACATATGCCATCTTCTGATTTTCTCTTTGGAATAATTACCGAAAACTATTTATGTACTTGTTTGGAGCAAAAGAAAATTAGATAAGGATGAAAAATGAACTTCTATATATATAGGATTGGGTTGCAAGCCATAAACTCTTATAGTACGCAAATATGACATATAACTTCATGCATACTCACTAGTGAGGAATTACAATATCCTCACTTTTTATGTGGTCGAATAAAAATAAAACACAAACAAATCAAAAAAATAAAAAAAGAGAAAATAAACCAAATCCTATCTAAATAAAATCGAATAAAGAAGGTTCAGTTTTAGGTTTTTTTTTTTTGTTTTTGTTTTTATTTTTTTTCTTAGGGGAGAAAATAAACCAAATCCTATCTAAATAAAATCAAATAAAGAGGGTTCAGTTTTAGGTTTTTTTTTTTTGTTTTTGTTTTTATTTTTTTTCTTAGGGTCAACGTCTGTTGCCTTCAACCCCCTCTCTCCGCCATTTTCTTCCTCTCAAGTTTTTAGTCCTAAACATCATCATTTAATTGTCAAGAATATTTGAAAGAGGTATGATCTATTTTTATTTTTTTTGGTTTTATTTACACATTTAAGATTCTTTTTCTAGAAAATGGCTTTCCATGAATGATTAAAGTGGCAAGCTAATCATTGGCCTCTCTGTTGAGTTTCTTTACAAATTACATGCATTCTAACACATAATCTTTTTGGAAAGCCTTTTTCTAGAAAAAGAATCCTAAATATGTAAAAAAAAAAAAAAAAAAAAAAAAAAAAAAAAAAAAAAAAAAAAAAAAAAAAATAGATCATACCTCTTTCAAATATTCTTGGCAATTGAATGATGATGTTCAGGACTAGAAACTTGAGAGGAAGAAGATGGTGGAGAAAGAGGGTTAGTGTCTGAAAGAGAGAACCGGATGTTGAACCCTAAAAATACAAAAAATTTCAAAAATAAAAAACCTCTTTACCCGATTTCATTTGAGTAGGATCGGGTTTATTTTCTCTTTCTTTATTTTTCTGACTTGTTTAACAAAAGATGACATGTTTTATTTTTGTTGAATCACATAAGAGGTGAAGATATTGTAGATCCTCACGTATTGTTCTAACGTCGTATAGATTCTTAAAAGTCTCTAATCTTTATTTTTTGTGCAAACAAGGGCCTCATAGTGATTAAAAAACTAAAGTTATTTGAAAAAAAAAAAAAGGTGAAAAACAAAATAAATTTAAAATGACAAAAGTACTCTAACTAAAAGAGAGGGGAATGGTGTGTATTAAAACGGTATAAGGGCATGTTGGGGAGACCAAAAGGGCCGTTTAGGGAATTTATTATTTAATATAGGTATGTGCAACGCACATGACTACTTAAATGTGATTTTCTGCCCAATTAAACTCTTAGTTGCCCATTTTTTTAAACTTAATGGACTTAACCAACAGTCCGGTGCCTATCGGTACCAGATCCCTACTTTCCAAAGGGAGGTCAAGGATTCAAACTTCAATGGAGGCATGTGTGTGTGAGTACTAATTAAAAAAAAAAAATTATATACCCAAAGTGAAAAGGTAAATGTGTTATTTACTCAAATTTTAAATATTAACAGTGTTTTTCTCACTTTATCTATTTAGGATTATATCGTGGGTATATATATATACACACATACGTTTTTTTTGTCCGTAATGTCGGAATACCTCATTATCTATTCCGGATCAAATGCAATCCTCTTGCCCCACATATAGAAAATTTCTTGAGAGTGGCGACAAGGGTGAAGACTTGGTTTGGCTGATCATTTAATCAAGTGCAATGGACATGAATTTATTAGGCATGTGAGTGTATGTGAGAGATTCTTTGTAGAGAAAAAGATATATAACAAATGCTTTGGAAACTGTGGGCACACAGAATAATTAATTTATAATACAAACACAAAAAAAAAAAAAAAAAACCTAAATTTGACTTGGGTGACATATAACGTGAGGATCGTATTCCAGTGAAAATCTTGAGAGAGTCACGGTCATGTCCTTGTTCCTTGTGGACAATTATGGGAAGGTAGTGAATTAATAAATTAATAAGATGTGCTCAAACATGATAGGATTTAACTAGTGGTTGCTTTCTCTATTGTTACTTGCATTCTTTGGATTACTATGGTTTCAATTTTCAAATGTCAAAAATGGAGTTCCTCTCTCTCCCTCTGGATCACTATGGTGTCAAATCTCTCTGTCTATATGTATATATATATAACATATATATATATATTCTCTGGGTTGGCACAATGTCAACTGTTTAAGGTGGGATTAGTTTGACAGCATCTTATCATAACATCAATGTCAAAGGGTTGGATTTAATCAAGGTAACTTGATAGTATAACTTTAAAACTGATGTCAATGTCACAAGATCATTCTAATCTAATGGAGGACTTTTTAGTATTTGGGTTGATAAACTCAAAACGCGTTCACTCTACTATCGGACTTAATTGAATTGTATAATTTGGTTTGATTCTTTGATAAAGTTTGATTTCGGTTATGAAGATTAAAGAATTATTGAGAACAATTCGACTCCGGTTTGGAGTCGAAGAGAATTGAACCGAACCAACCGGATAGGGTTTTTGAAGTAAAAGAATGGAGATAATAACATGAATTCATACCATCTGATGCAAATGATGTGTGTAACCTGAATTTGCTATTTCATTTCTAAGTCTTAAATGATAAAGTTTTTAAAGAAATATAATGAAGGTCTAACACAAGCGATGTATGACTTGAATTTGTTGTTTAGATTCTAATGCCGAAGTTGGGGTCCGTTTCTTCAAAACGCACTTCTAAGAGATAGAAGCTCTTTTATAATCTAAGTTTAAAAAGACAAAAGTGGAGTTTGAAAAGCCAATCCAAATAGGCATAAGTCTTTTAATACAAATCCTGTAACTTCTGCAATTACAAAACACAGCCCCTCTCAATCAAACAACAGAAAACAAATTAGAGTTTACAAATTTTAAAAGTATGAAACAACTATATTATCTTGAAAAATAAACCGTAAACAAAATAATCAAAAAACCGTCGAAAACAAAAACCGAACGAAGTTAGTTTAGTCGTTTGATAAATTGATGTGAAATTCATAAATACATGAATCTGCTCTAATGACTACCACTAGCATCACAATTAGTAACACTTGTTGCATATGTAGGGTGTGAAATCTAATTTTAAGGCCCCTCCAAGAGGAATAAACCTTTACTCCAAGTTATGAGAATCATTAGATTGGTCACAATATAGAGAGTGATTATTGAAAGTTAGGAGTGTTGTGCTTAGGTTTGAATTCTAGGTATATATATGGATGGGGGGGTCCTCAGTCCTCAACTGCTCCATTCAATTCCATCATTTTGTGTTTGGCACCCCCATTATTTCCCTCTTGAAAATAAATAGATTAAACATGTATCCAAAAGTCAGTTTGAGACTGACCCAAAAGCTCAAAAATAGTACCAATGCCAATGGTGACCTACCCAATTCACATCAGACACGGTTCACAAGGTTCTTGGTTGCAACTAAATTTGTTGCACAATTTATTTATTTATTTTTTTTCCGAAGCCAAAAAAAAAAAAAAAAAGAAAAAAAAAAGAAAAAATGAAAGAGATGCTTCGTTAATTGTAAAAAATAATGGTATTTACATTCTATTAGCTTTTTAAAAAGAATCTCTCAACAGTTGTTGTTCAGCTACTGCTAAAACAAGTGAAAAGACCTTTCTCTTGCTTCTAGATTTAGGCTTTTTTTAACGCAAATGTTATATTATGCAAAACGTAACGTATGTTTACCAAACATGTTTTGCCATTTGCTTATGTTTTTCACTAATCTGGCAACAAAAACACAAAGCAAAAATAATTACCAAACAGACCCTTAATTGATGGAAATTTGGTGTTTAAATCATGGACAATTAGTTGAATAGGAACAAATACAACCTTGGCATGCCACAGTGGCCACCATCCTTTGAGTTGAGCACTTGGGTCACTCTCCATTAATGGTTGCTCATAGGCTTTTCAAACACTAATGTTCTCCATAGTCAAATGTTAAGTGAAAATGGACCAAATTAACCTTGTTTCAAGTCAAAGGCTTAGAAACTTGTAAATTTGATCAAAACCATTGATAGGTTCATGGGTTGGGATGAATATTCTAATCATAGCACTCCTTTATAACTCAAAAAACAAAGAAAATCCTACTTCAAAAAAAAAAAAAAAAAAAAAAATTATTCCACCCTAGATCCCCAGACTCCAGTTATTTGGATCTTTTGGTTGATATGAAAGTAAGAAATAGATAGGGCAGAGCGTGTGTCTTTTGAAATTCAATCAGACCAAAGAGATATTTGATATTCCACTCATTGAGAAAGAAGCCCACCCTTTCACATGAAAGTGGGGTGGTTACCCTCTCTTACCAAATGGCCTTTCAGAAAAAGTAGTGTCAGGTTCAGCTTCAACTGGTCAAAAGAACTCACAAAAGAAATCTCTGATGATTTGCATGGTGGACCCCAGTTTGGTCAGGGTCAGCCTCACTCTTTCAAACCAACCATATATATAATATCAATAAGCATCCATAAAGAACCCTCCAAAATTTCAGCCTAGTTTTACTGCTTACACCTACTTGAAATGAAATAAAGCAAACCTATTTCATCTTGGATTAAAAAAAAAAAAAAAACAAAGAACAAACAAAAAGATAGGAAAGTCTAGTCATCATGTAGTACAGTTCATTTGTCAACCAGGCTTAAGTTTTGTTAACAACTTCAGATATATCTGTTTATGTATTCTCTTACTTAGATTAGTGGAGAAAATTTCTAGCATACTTATGTTCAGCAGTTCACACTTGAGTCTTTGGTCAAAAAAACAAAAATCCCTAATTAATACTGATTTGGAAGGAAGTCGATAGACATTTAATGTTGCGTTTGGAAGCACCGAACAAAGTTCAGCTTTTTTTTATTAACGAGGGTCGATAAATGATAATACACACTGGTAAGGCCCAACACTAGCATAATAACACGAGAGATTGGAGAATCAACATATGCTAATCCTTTTATCACACTATCATACAATTGTAACTTGTAACTATCATAATTCTCTATGTTTCAATTAAGGCCTTGGCTTCTAAAATCTGCTCCTATGACTACCTAAAGGTTAAGTCCATATAGCCATCATAAACACTTCTCAAACATTTAGCAGCATGAATTTAAAAACTTTGCGACTTTATGTTGGGGAATCATCCCTGGAGAAAAGGTGAAAACACTAACTTTGTATGGGATTTCACGACCAGAAACAATGGTCACAGCAACAGGGTGTACAACCCACTATTTTAGGGTTAATCGTTAGCTCAAAAATTGATCGAGATCTCATCAAATTCCCCATTGAGTTAGTGGATTCCATCTACTACCAAACCATTTCGTAAGTTCTGTAGGTTGAGAAATTTATTAGGCTACAAAATCAATGAAGTTTCATGCCACTGGGGAGGAAAAAAAAAAGAAAAAAAAAAGAACCTCAACAGGTTATCCAATATCATTTTGAGGTGCTTATTCCTTTCAACATGTGCTAATTGTCTCACAATATGCTTACAATGAATCTAGTAATGTTACCAAGAAAAACATTGCAAACATGCATCCCCAGAAATGAATCATCACTGCAATGCACATGCATCTTTCCACTTACATAAAAAAGAAAAAAAAAACACCAAAAAAACAATCGAAAAGATACAATAAATGACGAACTTCATAATGAGGATGCTGATAGTAATAGTCAGGGAGCCAACCTATCGATTTTCCATACCCTCTTTCCATCAGTCTCTAAAGGAGAATACCGCAACCTGCCATGGAATAATATGCACATTAGCAATGAAACCGTAATGTCATCTGAAAAACCTGAAATTTGTTCCATGTTGCAAAATTCGTTTAAGTGTTACATTTATTTTGAATCCTTAAAACTGCAACTCGGAACCTTTAAGCTCCATTGGGATAGGTCTCATATTCGACCAAATCAAACTTCTTATCCTTTTGACATTGTTTCTTGTTAGGTTCCTATGAGTTTCTTCAAACACAGACCGATAATTAGCTCCAATATTCAGACATGTTTGCCATGAGTCTTGCATTAATCTTATATCTGTTTCCAAGCTAGACCCATTGGTTTCGAGGCCAATAGGTCATGAAAGAGGATCAAATTGAAGAACCCTGTATTTTCAGCCCAAGTCCATAACTTCTTGTGCAAAGGTTCAGTTCTACTATATCTATTCATGGTTAAGATCCAGTGTAGGATCAATATACGACTTGGGATTCTGTCAGGTCAAAGAAAAATAAAAACTTTTTGCGATCTTTGAAAGGGTGATTTTAGTCACGTAGAACAAATTACAGACAATGATGCTACTATCAGCGTAAAAAAAATGTTTTCCGATTCATCAGCAGCTAATGATGCACATCCAACCTGAATTCTTTTTAGATCCTAATACCTGGATCCTGACAGAGAACGTAAACATGTAACACACACACGCACGCGCACACGCACACGTATATATATGTAGACACAAGTCAGGACCTGATCTTGGACTTGGACAAACGCCATTTTCAGCTATATAAACCAATCATATGATAGTTTAGCAAAAAGAATGGGATACAGCTACCTATCATGTAAGCGAGATTTTTGTCCTTGCCAAAACTCGAAAAGCTCTGGTTTAAGCCTGTATCCTCCCCAGTATTTGGGTTTGGGAATCAAACTTCTGCACATTGAAAAACAAAATGGATTTTGATAGAGTTTCTTACAAAGAGCAAGCAGCTGGGTCATAGTTCAGAACAAGAAACAAAAAACAAAAACAGCAGTGTTCTTAAAAGGATAATCAATGAAATTAACCCCGTAGGTTGTGCACGGAATTAACCCCGTAGGTTGTGCATGGAATTAACCCCATAGGTTGTTTCAAATGTAATATATCTACTATAATGCGCAAAGGTAGCTACCTTAATTCATAAGGTCATAGGAAATTATCCACTTAGATGGTAATTCTGGTAACATAAATGCACACAAAGCTTGCAAAGCTGTTTTAGATTAAATACTTGACTTAAAAGTTAATTGGGTAACATAAACTGACATAATTGTTTCTTTTTTTTTCTTTTCTTTTTTTTTTTCTGGTAAAGACGATTCTTTATAAACCAAAAACCAATATTTAAAGGAAATTGACAAAGCTAGCACATTCAGCAGAACACTTGCAGAACCAAATTATCAAAGATTGATTCACAGAGTCATCCAAAAACTACAAATTAGAAATACTGACCCATCAGAGAATTTTTCTTCTAATTCTTTATATTCTTGGTGGAGAATATGTCGTCCAGGTATTATAGTGCTCTGAAGATAAGCAAGAGAATGGTCTCAGTATGATGCAGAAATTGAACATTAAAAGCTGGGAAAAAAATGTTTACAGGAAAAAAGAAAGAAATAAATAAATAAAGAAAACCTGCTTGCTAACTATTGCTCCAATTTGACTTCCTCGAGGACGGCTGTGGAAGTATTGTTCAGATTCCTGATCAGAAACTTTTTCCACGAATCCTTCCACTCTTACCTAGAGATCATGGTGATATTTAGTGTTGTCCCACATAGAAACATTATTGAAAGAGGTTTACACTATTAGGTTGGTCAAAATTTTCTCTTGATAACTAGGAACCTTATATAGTAGATTAGGTTGCAGTTGGAAGCTTGAAAACAAGAAGTTAAATGATATTCAAGCTCTAGTACCATAGTCATACTTATCCATGGTGCTTTACCTGCAGTATTTAATGCATTTACCAGATCAAATTGTTTGTATTTTATTTACAGTTCAAATGCCATGGACAGCACGATTTACAGTATAAAAGTACAGCAATCCAACAATATAAGCCTCCTTAACCTAGTTTCCTTTTTTTTTTCCTCCCAGCCCCACTCCTAGGCTTGGGGCTCTTTTCTTTTCTTCTGTTATTTATTTTATTATTATTTTCTCCTTGAAAGATTATTAAAACTCATGACAATTCTGCTGATAAGGCATAAAAATTAAGAATCAAGTCATTTCTTCACAATCAGTCATAATCGATTCCATAAATTTCTTCAACCGCCATTTGCCCGTTCTAACAAGGCTTAGGAAAGTAAACAAAGATAATTCAGATCCAATGCATATTAAAGTTAGTCTGTGTGTTTTTCACATCAACTGAATAAGATTTAACTTTGCAGAAGAACATCCTACTAACAGAATCCCCGTCTCAAAATGCTTGGATGGAATTAGAGTGAAATGTGGTTTACCTGGCGATTTAAACCATCCCAGTAAAAGATAAGTGATGCATGAGGATTTTCAGATATTTCTTGAGCCTTTCGACTTCCATAATTGGTGTACCTACATACGCGAAGAGTAGCCATGGTATAAAAAGTTGATCAGTGTGAGCAGAAAAGTATATTATACCTTCTACCATAAAGGGATACAGAACAGCACTAACCAGACAAAACCATCTTTATCAACTCCTTTTAGCAATACGATTCGTGATGAACTGCAGCAAAGAAGAACATGATTTATGACAAATTTGGAAAGGTCGATGAATTTTATAAAAAAGAAATCCAGAATCCATCTTCAATAGATATATAATCATAAAAATGATGTTGAGAACAGTAATCACATTTGACGATCTCTGAATAGACATTCCATGAATAAAACAATACATAAAAGCTCACTGCTTGATATCCATGCCAGAATGTTGCTTCAATATGGGTACAAGTATCTGACATAGTTTGTCAATTTCGAAAAAGTCGAACTCAGGCATACAACAAATATATAAAGCATACAATAATTCTATTTAAGATTTTTTTATTTTTTATTTTTTGGATAACTAATGTAAGAATGTTGAATACATTATATATTAACAAAAATATTTGTAAAGATATCTGAATATCATAATAAATGAGCAAAAATCCTTCCCATGTTATATTTGAGTATGAGTCACCCACTTCATCAAATAACTTAAAGCTTACATCTGTACCGCCTCCTAACCTTATGAATCAACATGGACTACCAACTGGAAATGACCTTCTAATCCACAATGGATCTCAATAATTGCAACTAAAGGAAAAGGAATTGGAAGCAATGAAGAGAATCAAATGATTATCTGTACTCAACAATATACTTCAGTCTTTAGACTGAACATGCAGCTGCACTTACCACCATCATGAATAAAATAAGCAAAATGGTAGAAACTTACGGTTTCCCATCTTTGCCAGCAGTTGATAGGGCCATAGCATTTGGTTCTTTCAAGTTCGCAGCCACAGCATCATCAAACCATTTTTGGAACTGCAAGATTACTAAATCCTTTATTCTAATAAAATCAAGAGATTTGCAAGCTCTTATGGCAGGATAATAGCAGATAAATCTGTTTTGATATATTATTTAAGCAATTTTGCAACCAACAATTCTAAAGTGGTTTGCATATTTAGTTCTAAGAGCCTCAGGTAAAAGCAATGAAAAGAAAGATCAATGACAAGCCATTTTGTTTTTAAGTGAGCCCATACCTGATCAAAAGGATTAGCATCCACCTCCTCCTCAAGAAGATCAGGTGAAACATAGTTTTCTCTTAGAGCTGATATGTCAATTTGTGGAGGCTTTCCTATTCGAACACACATAGAAGTGCCAGGATATGGTGGAAGTCGAAGCTTAAACTTCTCCACGATTGATGGCGGAACAAATCTCCCACCTAGAAAGTGGTGCGGACCACCAAATTTCTTGGCACACAACTTAGGTGCAGTTAAAGAAACCTAGAATATACCAAGTTGCATCCATAAGATCATTTCGCTCAAATTGGAAGTATACTTTTAAACCAAAAAAAATATTCCAGATGATGTGTCCTTTGCCAAAATGTTGGATACAAGACACAACAGAGATTATCATATGAAGTATACCAGCATGTCAGGTTTGATCCCTTCGCCACTGGTATCTCCTTCTTCAACATGCCAACCAGATGGAATATCTATAGAGACAACAACAGGTGATTTCTGATGCATTTGTTTGTGATTTTGTAGAGACACCAGCCTTTGGATCAAATCATCAAAGGGTGGCCTTGGAGCACCTGAAGGATTTCAAATCCTAGACTTAGATATTAGTATACTAAGAATTAGATGTTGGAATCACTAATTGAGTGAACCTTAATAGTCAATATAAATTTCTTTGACAGATAAAATTGTACATAGCTTTAGTCTGACCTATAGAAAGGATGCACGTAACTACCACAAAAAGACTTCGGTTTGTTTTGTTGGGTTGCTATGAGGAGATACATGATGATCATCTTGAATGGAGTGCCCTTAAAGGGCAGGGCAGGAATAGAAGAATGGGCTCCTATTGCATATTCATATAGTTTTGAAATATGCGTCAAAATAATGTTGTTGGAATACTTTTTGAAGAATGTATAACTATATGGATTATCTATTCTTAATGCAATACCTTGAAAAGCTTGTTCTTTTTTCAACTTCTTTATTGCAGTACAAGTAAACAGATAACTTTAAAAAACAATATACAATATTTCAGTACATATGGGCAAAAAGGTTAGCGGAAATTGAAGAGGAGAGATTACCATGGAATGAGAATCCAAACATTGCATCTACTAGAATGTCAAAATCATTTGAGAAGTCCATAGGCAGATCTTCCACTGACAGGAATGGAATTGATAGTGATTCCAGCTACAAAATTTCACAATAGATAAGCACTCCCACAAAAATATATAAGCTACTATCTTGTAGAAATATCAAATTGAGACCCATCTCTGGACCTGAGTCACCAGGCCAGCATAGAGAGGCTTAGCAGTACGCTTTGGGTAACAAACAAATGGCTTATATCCAAAGTGATGTAGATGACGAGCAGCTACAAGACCATCACCTCCATTGTTCCCTGGACCGCAAATGGCAAGAACGCGATTATACTCACTTGATTTGTACACCTGTCAAAAGATTAATATCACACGGAAAAAAGTATCATACAATTTGAACCAGAATTGACTTTGTTTTTCTGCTTCAACAATAACTACCATCTTACCACCCCCTCCCCATTATTTTTCTTTCCAAGAGATAGATATGGAGGGGGAGGGGGAGGGGGAGGGGGGTTGGGTTAAAAAATAAACCCATTGCATCTGCCCACAACTTGTAACATGCTTAAGAATTCAGTGACAAGGTCCTCTTTCCTTAAAACTAGTTTCCTGGAATTAAACTCGACAAGGATGAAGGGATATATATGTATATATAGTTGTAAATTTACCCAATCTAGGCCTGCATAAACTATAACACTTCTCATTATGGGAGTATGTCACCTTCGTTGCCAAAGCGAAAATAAAGAATCCCGCTAGAGAGTGTTGAAACCTCACCTAATAGAGTTTTCTCAAACCAACCAACCTGTCACAACTAGAATGCATACTCCAACAGCCTATCATCTTTGAGACCAACCAACTTCTCATAGCATATAATCTTTCTTTTACCTTTTCACCCTAAACCTACAAGCATTCAATAACTTTCCCACTCTCTCATCATATCCCCAATTAGTGCTACCTTCGAATTCTCAAGAATGTTTTTATTATTTCATTCCTAACTATGTAAATTCATCTATCTCTAAAGGGGGCAAAAAAAGGAAAAAATGAAACTGGGAAAACTGCATACATAGGTCAACATCTAACATCAAGAGAAGTTTAACACCTCAAAGAAAGACCAGACAGTAGTTCTTCGTTAATTGTTTTGATGGTTCCCCTTGTTAATGCACCAAATAATATATATTTTTTGATAAGTAAGAGTCGATTAGAAAAACGTTCAAAAGGGGAACGCGTCCCTAATACAAAAAACCAAAGTTGAACCTAAGGACCAATAGAGTCCAAATGATCAATTAAGTCATCAGTTGAGGAGCAAGCGCTTCCTTTCACATAACAAAAAATTGAACGAAGAATATGAATTTTCAAGGTTGCCAAAGACGATTCCTTTCCTTCGAAATTTCTGCTATTCCTCTCTCTCCATATGCACCACCAAACACAATGTGGAACTATCCTCCAATAATCACGAGCGTGACTTTTCACTGGGCATCTTCTCCATGCATTAATCAGTCCTATGGAGGACTGAGGCATGATCCAGTGTACGCCAAAAATGCCAAAGATAAGGTTCCAACAATCATACGCCACAGGACAGATGCACCAAATTATATATATATATATTTTGGTGGGGCAGGGGGCTCAAAAAATTATATGGTAAGTCACACCTTCTCTAATATACATTAACTGAACATATAAACTTAATTATGTTCAGTAGCAACTGGAAGCCAGCACCTTAGAAACACTATTCCTGCACGTTTAACTCACGCTACATTAAAGATCTATAAAAATGGCAACACATCCATAGAAGGCAATGAAAGAAGACAAAGCACCCCACTAAAAAGAGAGGAAATGCAATTTGTATCTGTGCAATAGAAGAGGCATGTCCGCTAAATTGGAATGTGTTGAGCTCCTATAGCCTATATGGTAGGGACGAAGAGGAGAATAAAGGAAAGGGATAAAACTTACTTCCTTTTTTCAAAAATGGGCAGTAGAAAGGAAATGGATGGCAGGAGAGAAACCCTTTCCTCTAAGCCCAACGTAGTGGAAGGGAAGAGGGAGAAAAGTGAGAAATTGGACCACCACCCTAAGCGCTAATACGTCAAACTATGCTAAACCGCAGACTAATACCCAGAGGTGGGCTGAATAGGTGTCAAAATTATATTCATGATATCTAACAGGAATTCAAATTGTAAGTAATTGATCTTAACAACAATTTAAATCTCAACTAACAATCAATCATCACAGTAATAACCAATAAAGTGTAAAAAATTAAACCATAAAAAAATCCAAACCAAAAAACTAATTTTTATGCGGAAACCATTATGTGAAAGAACTACAGGACCTAGTCCAAGTAGATCAAACCCACTACGCATAGAAGGTTTAAAAGTATCAATACCTAAAACCCTAGAATACCTAGTTACCTCAAATCCAGACTTACGCCAGCCTCCACCAACTCTGCTGACAGTCTATGAGTTCACCCCGCATGCAATTCACTCTTCTTCTTGTGATTGATGTCCTTAGGCAATCGCCTAGTCACCAAGTCCAGATTTGTCTGGAATCTTGGTGTTGATATTCTTTGATGAAGTCTAGAATCAACACTCAAGAAAAATACTCAGCATTTATACACATTGATGAAAGAAAGGTTGCTATTGATTGCCTTTATGCTATCAATATGCCTTGAGTTGCTCTATTTATGCCTCTCTTTTCATAGATTTTTTTTTTTTTTTTTGATAAGTCTTTTCATAGAATTTTTAAACAGAATTAAGTACAGTTTTAGGAGTTTGATATCAAATATGAATCTAGAGTTCAACCAAACCTAATCCAATGAAGATGCATTCGATTGATCGAAGCCCTTGTACTAAGAAAACTTTAGGTTTGTTCTTTTTAAAACAATTTTATGCATTCAAAACACCTTTTTAAAGGTACAAGTATGCAATTTAATATGAATAATCATTGAAAGCATGATAAAAAAACCTAAATTAGAAAGTGAGAACTCTATTGGTGAAATTACCTTTCTATGCTTGTTAAATCCTTGAAATACTTGGATTGGGGTAACACCAAATAAACTCGACCAACTTCTAAAAATATTTACAAACATAAATCAAAGATTAAAGCCTCCAGTTTGTACAAATATTTTTCAACCTAAGTCCTGTTGGCTTAACAGAATGCATCTTCTCTCATTCTCTTATATTTTTACCCTTCAAAAAACAAAAAGAAGCATCTTTCCAATTGCATAATGGTATAATGGTCAAATCATGCATTAATTCTTCCCTACTTATTTTCTTTTTACTAAACTTAGTTAACAGATTTCTGTTCCTTATGGATACCTCTTCTATCCATCCTACCTTCACATCTGATATTCCATTCTCCTAACCAAACAAAGCATTAGGCCAGCACGTTATGCATTTGCACTGGATTCATGTTCTATATGCCTTAAAAACATCATCCTAAGATTCAAACTAGATCATCATCAGCAAGGATCATCAGTCACAGTTTTGTTTGGGGTTGAATTTCAGAAGGCAAAAGGGGGAAAAGTGGAAAACTACGTGGCGTGAAAATTGTATGTTGTTGGGAACACATTGACTAACTTATAAATTTATCTTACAATGACTAAAGCAAATATGGTTTGAACATGTGCAAAGAAAGAACTTTAAGTGCGTCAATTAGGAAAAGTGACACAGTCCACATTGAGAGTAATACTCTGGGGAGAGGAAGACCAAATTTAATGAAAGTAGAATTAGTAAGGAAGGATATGATACATGTGGATTGACTAAGGTTATAGCATTACATAGAGCGGAATAGAAACATAGCATTCATGTAGCCGACCGTGTGGAAACACCACCATGTAAACAATAAAACATTTTCAAACACAAATCTTTGGGTCTAATCAATAACTTCCAATATCAACAATTTATATATTCAGCTAAACTACAATTTTGTTGGAATATTATATTTAGCTACACAGCTTAACATAAATAATAATAATAATAACGAAAAAAACACAAGGCAATTCAATACCCTTACCTCTGCTATTGCAGTTGCAACACTCAAACCTGCCAATTCCTGCAAATTTAAACCATTTCATTGAAACCTGAACAACTAGGAAACATCTTGAGAAATGTAGGAAAAGATATATATGGAACCAAACACTGACCATTAACTGATCAACGCTGAATCCAAGTGGACCCATGAGGAGCTCATCGATATCGGCCGCTTCGCGCTGTGATAGGTACGACAGTGAGTCCGTACTCTGAATGCTCTGCAACGATGAAAACAATCTATCCCCCATTTTTCTCACTTCACCAGAACACCAACAATATCTTAGAATTGCAGAATTCGATTGTTGTCCGAATAAACCCTAAATTAACAGTTGTTTCATAGTTAATCTGAATTTCATGTGCTAGACGTACTTGATATATGTATGTGTGTGCATATATATACATATATGTAGAAAGAGAAAAAGTACGTTACCGAAAGAGGAATGGGAGAGAGATTGTGGAGAGAGCGAGAGGAATTGAAATTGTTGGTGCTGTAGATAAAACTAGAACTAGAAGGAAGTAATTGTGTTAGTGTGTGGGGGATTAGGCATGTCATTGCTTTTGTTTTGCGCATCAGTGAATACATCTTCTGTATTAAGTCTGTAGTCCATGTTTTTTCTCTTATGCATATCTCATGTCTTAAAAGATAAATTAAAATAATAATTTTTATTGAGTTATTATGAGCTAGAAACAATTTTTAATAAGAGTGAATAATTCAATATTAATTTTTTAACAAAATTTTCAATTCAATGCAATTAAGAATATCCGGCTCTCGATGTAACTTGGGCTTTGGCGAAAAATAAAAAATGGTATTTTTATATCATAATATATAATATATTAAATATTAATTTTTTGTTTTTTGAGATGCAAATTAATAATTAAATTCTTATATTTAAATGTAGTCTATTTGGAGGAGATTTTCCTCATTTCATTTCGGTGAAACCATCCGATCAGTTCCCCAATTTGTGACGCGGTCCCTTTAGAGATCACGAGGACTCATTCGCTGTAACACAGTCTGATTTTAGATTACAACGTTCAACAGTTCGTGTCCACGCGGCAAAAAGAGTCTTTTGAAGGGAATGTTCCAAAAACCTCTTGTCAATAATTTGGAAAAGAATTTAGTTTTTAATATAATTTAATATTTCAATTGGAGTGTTTGTTTCTACGTGTAAAATTTCTTTTAAAATTTTTAATTCTGAAAATAAATCTAAATCTTTAATATCATAAGACTCATCATGTTTTAAAAATAGTTCTAAATTAAGACAATATTTTTTCAATCTATCATCATCCAATGATTTTAGCTTTTTAAAATTAAACAAAAAATAAAAAAATATCTTCGTATATTTTAAATTGTTCAAACCTACTATGAATTGAAGAAATAGCTTGATCGACTATATATAAAAAATAATTGATCCTAAAAGATTCTTCGGCTGATTGAGTTGGCTTATCATCAACATTCCCATCAAATTATTTTTTTCTACGAATTATACATTTTTCATGAAAAATAGGTTCTATTTCCATTTCATTAGCAAGTTCTTTAGTTAAAATAATAGCCGATGTAAATCCATTTTCTCAATATTTTGTGAAAAAATAAATAAGACCTTTTAATTGATCTATGGCAACATCAATGTGCATATCTTGAGATTGCAAATTTTTACTATTTGAATTAACTACAAATAATATGTCATACCAAATAGTCACCCCCGATAAAAACTCAAAATTTTCAAATTCATACATTACTAAACATTTAGCTTCACTTCTTGTCTTAGGATTTTCACTTACTTTTTATAATTGAAGTAAAGTATTTATTATTTGTGGAGTTTGGAATCTTATTACTTTAGCACTTTCAATTCGACTTTCCCAATGGGTTTGCGACAATGACTTAATAGTTAAACCGGCTACATTATCTTTTAAAAAAATTCACCATTTTGTGGAAGAAGAAAATAATGAATCTATAAGTTGTACTACTCCAAAAAAAAATATATAGCTTTGGGACAAGAGTTGTCCATATCACAAAGTAATAGGTTAATATTATGACAACCACATGGTGATAGAATGCTCTAGGATTTCTGTCTAGTAGTTTTTTTTATACACCTTGATTTTTTCCTTTTATGTTAGATCCATTATCATATCCTTGTCCTCTTATATTATTAATATCGAGCTTAAGATTTATTATTATATTTATAAGTTCATAAGAAAGGCCTTTTTCAGATGTGTCAAAAACTATTAGAAATTCTAAAAAATATTTTTGTACTTTTATTGGAGTTGTCGAAATATCCATACATCGTAATATAAGAGACATGGTGTGTCTCTAGTCGTGTCGACCAACCAAAGTTGCAATGAAAGTGTGGTCAAGTTTAAATTTATAAAAAGCCACTACTACCTCTAATTACTAATATAGTTAGGGTGAGTAGGGATCGTCCCAATGGATTGAGGGCTATGTTAATATGGAAACAAGATCGGATTAGTAGGTCGAATGATCAAAAGATTGTTTGTTGGTTAATTAAACTACGATGTAAATGAGTTTAAAACTAAACAACTAAAGTAAATAAAAGGGTAGAAAACAAGAGAGAGGGGTCTTGGGATCTAGAGGTCACCACTAAACATTACCATTCTAGACATTCAATGTGTAATGAATGAGGGGAAACATGTGTTGCAATACAAAGATGTGTGATTAATTAAATCAGCAAGCATGGATTGACTAATTAAACATACATTGTCTAAACAACCTAGTGAATAGCATAATATATCAAACTAAGCCATTAATCTTTCCTTTAAGCTCACAATCAACACACTAACAAGTTAGAGAATTATACTACTTGCATTCATAAGTATGGAACATCAAACAACAAGCATGGATTGTCCTCACATCTAAGAAAATAAAGCAACTACACTACTTCTAAGCTAAAGACATGAAAATTAAACTAATTAAACTAAGGTAGAGGCACAATCCATCAAGAAATGAGTATGAACCATCAAACAAACCACAAGAGTATTCTATTTAAGCACTATGCCTTGACAATCTCTAGATTTATAGCATCAATACACATAGACATGCATCAATATCACAAAAACCAAGAGATAAACACATGAACATCTACTCTAGCATACATAGACATATGGATAGAATGAAATAATCAATTAGAAGTATTAATCAACACAAATCATTGTAAGAACAAGATTCATATATAAATCAAGTGTCAAGACAACATTACAACACAAATCCCCTCAAAATACAAAGCATTAAGGTTTAGAAGGCATGCTTAGGGCTAACTCTAGCCCCAAGAAGATGTTTAGCCACTCATTGATGTAGTCATCCAACCCTCAAGGGCCATCTCCATGGTAGAAATGTTCTTCTCCTTGATGGAAACCCTAGAAGAATGGAAGAACTCCCAAATAGTGTATGTCTCTCTAAGCTCTAGCCTTCTCTCCAAGATATATGATTCTAAGTTATGTTCTCTCAAGATACGATGATATCAAGATTATGATGTAAAAATGACTCAAAATCCTTTTATAGGTAGCTCAAGTGTGACACCCAATGGTCAGGTCTCGTGCACTAGGGTCCCTTCAATAATTGCACCATGAGCCATCTTTTAATGAGCTGGACTCTATTTTAATTCGGATTTGAGGAGGTTCAATCAATCGAATTCAGATGAGATCGATCGAACTGTGGCCAAATCCATCAAAGTTAGGCCAGATCGATCAATCCTTGGTGGCGTTTTTTTGGAATAAGACAAATCTAAGATATTTTTGGGATATTTTGGGAAAAAGACAAAAGTGGTAGGTGAGGATAAAATCAAGGAAATTCGATCGATCTGAAGAAAGTTGGATCGATCGAAGATGGAAATTCTTTGAGGATAAGGACAAGGGGTCTGATCCATCTTGGTGAGGTGAGATTGATCGAAAGTATTCCTGATCAATCGAAGATTGCTGATTTCCACCACTTTGCTCCATTCTTCTATTCAGCTTGAGATTGCTTCTTTTATGCTCTAATTTGGCTAAATTGACTTATTTTGGGGATAAGCACCTGAAAAGGGCAATAACATGAAATTAGTCTAAAATGGGAAAGTAAGATAGATAAATGTCTTAGAATACTCGAGGTTAAGGGGTTTAAATACGCACTTTTTAGCGCTCATTAAGACATTTGCTCTTGATGACTTGCATTTGGAGTGCAATCAAGTATAATTGAAAAATATTTTGCTTCTTTTATTTTTTTAATAATTATATTTGATACACCCTTCAGCTTGAGGAAAAGTGTTAGAATATGTTATATTTGAAAAATATTATTATAGAAACCCTTAAATTACTCCTTGACAGAATATTTGATATGAAAATATCGTATGAGAGATTTTAGACTATGATAGAATATTGATTGGGGTGATTTATGGTATTAATTTAAGGAATATTCCATTAATGTATTTTTCATATTTATCACCTCTATTCTTTTACCTATAAATAGAGGTGATCATTGTATACAAATATTAAGAGAGAAAATATTACAAAGTAATATAGTTCTTTGGGCTCTTTGTGTCATGGATGTAGATCCTAGTGGCTAAACCACGTAATATCCTTGTGTTCTTCGTGTTTCATTTCTCTCTTCACTTTTGTTTTATGCTCTAATACCAAATTGCAAACAATATGTGTAATTGACTTAGTCTATTATTGAGACTAGCCACTCTTTATATACATATATATGGAGTACTTGAAGCCTTAAATTAGGGAGTACATCAAGCCTTAAATTAAAGAGTAAAGCAAGCCTTAAATTAAGGAATTAAGGAGGAAAACAAGCCTTAAATTAAGGAGGAAAGCAAGCCTTAAATTAAGGAGAAGTAAGATAAAATAAAGGAAAAAAAAAAAAAACTAAATTATTTCCAACACTCCCCCTCAAGCTGTAGAGAAGATATCTACCAAGCTCAGCTTGACTATATCAAGATGTGAAACAACCGTATCCTTTCCACAATAAGATTGCAATGCTACCAAACACACCAGCAGCCCAAATAAGGCAATAAATACTGTTGCAGATATGGAAACGGTGAACACCATACTACCGAACACACCGGCAGCCCAACATGGCAAAGGACGATAGTGCCGAAGATAAAGTATGCTAGATCGAGGATAAAGTATCATTTTGGCTACTAGAATCAGTCGTAGTACCAAAATAAGGTTGGTCCACACGTCAAAGTAGGAGGAAAGAGTAAAAACAAAGCTGGAAAAATCGGCGATTTCCTGCAAATATGTTGCCAAACAAACACCGACAGCCACAACGAGGCAAATGACGATGCTACTAAACATACCGACAGCCACAACAATGCAAAAATAGCCTGCTACCACGTCTCCTCAGACCATGGATCAGCAGCCAAATAGAGGTAGAAAACACACTACCCAGAACAAAAAAAAAAAAAAAACCCAAAACAGAGAGCTCCAATGAAATCAAACGACGAAAGAGAAATCTGAAAAATGACACCAAGCAAGTGGTGATGGCTACCAAAATGGAATAGCAACAGAGATAGAGACTTTAAATATGTAAGAAGGGGATGATGATGGATCGCCACCGGAGATGAAGCTTATGCCGTCATCTCCGGCACTGGCTCTAATAATTACAAACAATG